TCATTATCATATAACAATGCATTGAAAAAATCTTCATGATGTTCTCATTAGTATGTTCCACACGTAAGGTGCATAAAATCACAAATACAAAAGCATACTATTTCTTGGTTATGCTTAAGAATTGAATGCTTCTTTTCATAATTCTATTGGGGTGTAAATGAGTTGACCGCAAGCACATTTTGTATGAAGCGCGAAAGCGCTTCATATTATAAATGTGCGTACGATCAACGTTTTTTCTACCCTGTAAAATCACCAAAAGAAGCAATCTCTTCTTATATTTACATTTCTATGCAACAACCATAAAATTAAGAGTTATACTAAGGACTTCGTTTGTTTTTCACTGCATTATTTTAACATTGTGATGGATAACGCATGCATACATGCAGTCATAGCTGTTGTATATTCTACGCAAATAAAATATGAGATTGGAGTGCCTTGCGATTAGTGTAAGCCAAATTAACGGATTCTAATGAAACATACATGTAATGTAATTATAATGAATTATAATTGAGATAAATTAAGTTAAACAGAAAATGAATGTCAATACATCTGTTAACCTATTTCGGGTTGAAAAATGTCTTTATGCAAGTCTGTAACTGTTTGAAAATTGAGTTAATATGAGAACTATGCAAAACAGACCAAAATTCATCCTTTATTTCGTATTTAATGTTCTAAAGTCATTCAGAGTCTTATACATGTACATGTATACGTGTACTTGCATAAAGTCGATTTCTATTCGACGCAGTTTATATGGCGAAAGCATGAACGAAGCGCACCACTGTTAATTTACAGTTGTAAATTGCAAATTTTATTCTTATTCAAACCAAACAGGTTATCTTAAACTTGTGTTAAACAATGTTAAATGGAGATCATTATCTACAATAATACAATAATTTTGAATTTAGAAAATTTAATCTGGAATGAGCAAACATGCCTCTTTAATTGAAAAAGGCAGATAGTAATAGATCCATAGAAATCAAAGACTGTGCATGTTTGTAATATACATAATGAGAGGATGAGAATCATGTGTTCTTAAATTGCCAAAACAATACATTTGTAAACGGACTTTCCGTTTTGAATTTTCCTTGAAGTTCGGTATGTTTGTTATTTTCCTTTTTGTTCACAAACACATTTACTTTGTTGATAAAAATAATTCCTGACATTCCAAAAAGAAAAATACTAAAAATATTTTATAATTTGATTCTGCATATGCGCATATGTTTTGATTGTCATTATCGCACGCATCTAAAACAATAAAACCAATAACACGGATACGTATTATGTCACCTAAGCAAACACAAAGACATGTGCATTGCAAGGATAAGTTATGGTAAAATATTTTTGTCAACTAAACATATTTTAAGAATACTATATTACCAATGATGAATACTAACTACTGGAATTCTTACATCTTTAGTACTTTTAGTCCATTAAAGGAAGTATCAACTGGTATCAACGAATATTTTACTGAACCATTATTTTGATTATGATCGATTGGTGTTGTATTTCAGTGGCATAACTTACATATAATAATAAGAAGATGTGGTATGATTGCCAACGAGACAACACTCCACCAGAAACCAAATGACATAAAAGTTAACAACCATAGGTCACCGTATGGCCTTCAACAATGAGCAAAACCTATACCACATAGTCAGCTATAAAAGACCCCGAAAGGACAATGTAAAACAATCGAGAAAACTAACGGCCTGATTTATGTACAAATCAATTAAAGAAGAACAAATATGATATACGGCAACAAACGAATTACAGGATACTAATTTTGGACAGGCACATACATAAAGTAGCAGGGTTAAAGTTTACAGGCGCCAAATCCTCCCCTAACCTGGGACAGGGGTGTAACAGCATTACATATGAACAAACTATAAAAATTGTCGAAAAGGGCTGAACTCTATGTATATTTAAGACAATAACATGTTGCTTCGTTACGAATTTGTAATGCTTGTACTAGACTGACACACTGGCCTGGGCCCTCGGTCATAAAACCTTACTCAGTACTGGGAGTACAAAATGTGTGCTCGAAACACCAAATCTAGTATTTTGATTGGTTGATTTCTGGGTCTGAGTACGATAATCATGCTCAAAAGATTTATGACCGCAAGGCCTGGGTAGGTTAACGTTTATAGTTAATAAGGTCCTCGTCCGCAGTAGGACATGTTAAATACCCGGATACATGATTTTAATTCCAAGTCGATTTGTCTTTTAACTCTTAAAAATGAATTAAGGGGAGTGGCTGCAACTTTCAATGTTCATGATTTGATTTGGTCCAGAATCTAGATCGAAAAAAAGTATGAACAAAAAGATCGAACTTAAAGGTAAAATTCAAAAAGAGGGAAGTTCATAAAAACTGACAAAATCAAACGTAAGACTATATTTATCTACGGAACGAAGAAAATGATAGGTTAAACCTGGTCTTTTAGCTAGCTGAACCTTCAAGAATCTTTCGCTTTCGATGCGAGCACGAGACCAACGAACGGTTTCTCGTTCGTAGATAAGCACATTATGTTAAATGAATGGTCAATGGGGAACACTGTCGGCATGATAACATTTGTCCCTTACGTGAACTTGCGGTGAAAGTAGTTTCTCATGCATCAAACTGTTAAATTTAACAAAGATTAAGTATGAATCTGTGACTTTATATCTGGCCCCTGGTAAATAAAATACGGATGTAAATAATGAATGTTTTCATGTAATTTATAGTGCGTCACCTAAGTTTAAATACATAAAGATATAATTTAGGAGAAGTTGGTGATACATCGAGAACATTTTTTATCTGTACCAAACATAAAAGCTTGTTTTTGTGCCATGGAAAATAAGACCAATCTTCTTCGTATTTATCTTATTATTGGTGGCGCATTAATCATTTTTCAGTTTTCTCTTGAATTTATACAATTGTACATGTAAGACTAGTTTACTGTTCATCTTCTGGCAAATTAATGTTAATTTTCTGAATATTTAATTAAACTACATGTATGAATGATCAGAGGTGACGTAAAATGACAATATTGATAAATCTGCAAACTTCGATTAGTGTTAAAAATAAGAAGTGCATTACAAACTGAAAAGGTTTTGGAATACAAATTGGCGTATTTCATTTCCTGATGTCTGTCTAAAAGGATAAATATTTCTAATAATTTTGTGTTTGTATAGATCATAGACTCCTCAATATTGACAAGTAAATCATAGACAGGCAAATAATGACTTTTTAGAGAATAAAAAGAACCAAAATGAATGATCTTTTTTTTAATATATACTCCAGTTAAAGTCAATACCCAGTTCTAACAAGAAATGAAGCACATGAACAAATGACACACGACACCTACTGACGCGGTTCTTGACCAGGTAATAACTCATGAAGATGTGGCAGGGTTAAACTTTATTTTTAGCATACCCCTGCCCCACCCCCCCCCCCCCCCTTTTCCCCTTTTCAATCTCGAACATTAGATAAAAAAAACATACAGTCAGTACAAGAAAATGACTTTGCTCTACAATAACGGTATATAAAGGCAACAGTATTACCGACCCCTCATGGGTAGTCAAGGTCGTTAAACACTCCCTTGTATTAGTATTTTACCGATGACTTAATCTCATAAATCGATTAGGAAGACCAATTATGGTAACAAATAAAACTGAAGCAATCGCATGAACAGCTAAAGAGGCGATGCCGGGTGAGCGTCTCCTGCTATGCATGCATCACCGGTAATGGGAATCCCGCGAGATCAAAATTTCACAATCGATAATAGGACACAATCAGTAAAATTACATATAAGACAACAGTATACAGCTTCTTTTCCATAGGTAATATTTTCTGTACCAAAAATCTGTAGTACTGGAAATCTACTTTTAATATTCAGTACTATTTTGTTACTTTAAAATTATTGTAATATTTAAGTAACGGTATTTTACAGTACTTGATTTATACTTAAAATTTAAGTACTACGGATTGTTGGTTACACCATTACATTTTTAGCATTTAGAAAGTTTGTCTATTTCAAATCTCTTAAAGTTATGATTTTCAAACATGGAATATTGTGATCACTGTTGGTATTATTTCTGTACCAAAATTTCAAGTACAAATCAAGTACTGTAAAATACAGGTACATAAATATTACAATAACTTTAAAGTAAAGAAATAGTACTAAATATCAAAAGTAAATTTCCAGTACTACAGATTTTAAGTACAGAAATAGTACCTATGCAAAAGTAGCAGTGTATGTATGGTATCTAAACATCTAATACTGTGAACACATAGCGCTAGTGAGTTGAGAAAAAAGTATAACAAAAATACCGAACCCCAAAGTAAATTCAAAAGGGGAAGTCTATAAAAACTGACAATAATAAACGTCATCAATCAACGGAACGAGTGGAAAACAAATGTTTTATTCCTAACTTGGTTCAGACACACAAACATATCATTACAAATTTGTGATGTTGCCGAAAAATCGATTCCAGTCGTTCTTCCTCGCAACTATGTTAAAGCAATGCTTATACTTGTTCGGCTTTTAAACTATTTTGATCTGAGCGTCACTGATGAGTCTTATGTAGACGAAACGCGCGTCTGGCGTATCAAATTATAAGCCTAGTACCTTTGATAACTATTTTAGCCAATCCCTTTTTTCTCAGTATCGCATAAATAATAATCGCATTTTGGTCTTAAATGACAAAATCGCAATACTAAATGTAAGCAATAATTTCTGAATTTATAGTAGTTTGAACATGTACGAGCGTAACGTATCAATTGAAAATTGTAAACGTCATAAGATGGGACAGAGGGTATGTTACTGCTGAGATATGGGATATTTTGGAAAGTTGAAATTATGAAATTTTGAAATTCTCACGTTTGTCATAGATTCTAGTTTAAAGTCGTTCACATGTGTGTCAACATCTAGGAAACATTTCAAGATATGAAGCAGACCTTCTTGTTTTGGTGGTAACCTTAATATCAAGTTTACCAAAATATATGAGATGCAAGTACTCACCGAAATATGTGTTATTGAGTGACAAGATATCATCAATATATCTGAAAGTAAAATTTTGGACGATAAGTTTTTTTTTTCCTTTTCCCATTGAGAAAATGTTATTTTAAGGTGGTACCCAACACCTTGACTAATATTAATTTGGCTCGTTTAATTTTCATAAAATTTTGACAAAATGTTTACTTTGACCCTTTGACAAAAATATAAAAAATTCAAAAAATTTCAACCAACCACTTCATCAGAAAAATTTCATTGGTTATATAGCAGTTAGACAAACACTAATTTTGATCATTGAGAAGCTTAATATTTTCTTAACAGTACAACGTGATTAAAACGTCTAGCTGATTTTTACAGAGTTATCTCCCTGTAGTGTTAGGTACTACCTTAATTCTGCTTCATATGAGTATACAAATAAGGATATATGTATAAAAATAATAAATAGCAAATTATACTATAGTATATATGACAAAATGTCGCAGTTAATGAAAGCAAAATCAAAGATCTATATATACGACAAACAAAAGGACAAACAACACAATGTACCAATCTAAGAGTACTCGCATGAAGTTTATTCATGAATTATTTGAGTGATCACCCGGATTATTATTAATTTTGGAACAAAAATCAGCAGAGGTTCGGAAGATTTAAGAATTTTACGCTTAATTTAGTTATTTGTGTTTCAAAACCTGTTGGTTTATACATGAAATTATTATGATAAAAATAAGATCATATCGAGTACATATATAAGGTAGCAAGCATCTCATCCAAGACGAAAATTAAGATTAGAATCCAATAAAGAATTGCTTGTACAAGGAATAAAACATAAAATTGGCATACACTGTGACTTTGAGATGAAGAACAGCTTTTTGTGTCTTTTTTTTTTTTTTTGCTGTGCATGTACTGATTTTGTGTCATGGATGGATATCCCATATCCTTTGTTTTTCTATTAAGCAACACATGGGCCACATTATTCAAGGTCTAATTATATAATGTTTAGATATTAAATCGAAAATTTAAAGACAGTATACCAATGTTTGCTTAATTTCCAAACTCTGTGTGAGGAAACTCATCAAAGATATAAGGGTCATAATATGGTACGCTAGACGCGCATTCGATCTACATCAATATCACCATTGGCACCAAAACCAGATGTTAAGGTAATCTCTGCTTTAGTGTTTCGAATAATGTCAACAGTAAATGTACCAGAAACTAATTATCATAGTTATCAATGTCAACACACAGTGGTTGTGATACACAAGCAGTGGTATCGACACAGTGGTATTCAGATCTTCATTCAATAAAGCAGGATTAAATCATTGAACTTGCAACAATACCTTAAATTAATGAAGATAGAAATTGTACATTAAAGGGTATATTTGATGGTCTCTAAAAAGAAAACTAAAGTTCACGAAAACAATGCGGAACTGTCAAAATTCATAATTATTTATATACATCACGACTGACTCCATTGTTTACATACATTTGTTTACGTATAAGGTGGTATATTTCTTTACAAGGTGTTTAACTACTTGTAATTTGTTTTGACGAAACATTTTTTTCTTTCTATTGGAGTAGCAAGATAATAAGAGTGAAGCTAGTTCGTTCATATTAATCTCTCGTGTTTTTGCATGTTTAACGATACATATGTGTCATTTTGTTAATATAACACAATTATCGTGATTGGGTCTCAACTGCATCGGTACCAGCAGGTTCATTTGGTAAAGTGAGGTTTTGTGAAGAATAATTGATCGTGCGTTCCATTATAGAAAAAGACTGAATTTAATGTAAATATTATTTACTTGTCAATGCAATATATGTGTTTACTCTCACTAATATGTGCAAATTAGTCACTTCATGTTTTTAATCATTAAATGAAATTAGAGTTCCAATATATCATATTTTGTAAACAACAAACAAATAACTATATTGAAGATGGATGTTCTGTATTAATATGCAAAGGAGTATAACAAAAAAAAATGAAATCAAGGTTATCCTTTCGAACATTTTACGGACGCAATCATGAGTTGGTTAACCGTTGTGGAATATCTGTTTCAGAGATGACGACGGATATGCTCCCATTGTCGTAACCACAATCCTGTCCCTTTTTTCATCGAATGTGACATACAGAATGAGACATATCAGCTGCGATCACCCTCGGGTTTGGTTGGTGGATTTCGTGTTTGTTCAGTCTTTTTTTCTTTGTTGAATTTTGTATACTTTCTTTGTCTTTTTGATCGTTTTTCGTTTTTTTTTTTGTTTTTGCCACGAACTTGTTTGTTTGTTTACGTAAGAGTTTGACTATCTCCTTCGTATCTTTCGCCTCTCTTTAGAAAAACACTTTAATTACTATTCAAAAAGACTATATATAGGGAATTCATAGAAAAAAAAGACGACAGAAGATATCAAGGTCGCAATAAGAAACGATGAGTCGAAGAAAAAAGAAGTTTTCCATGACCAAGAGAAAAGTATAAAAAGACAAACAACATTTCAAAAATATTATACCAAAATATTAAGCCTTTTACCTGAATAAATATAGAAGCGACACAAGTTGCCAACACGTCCTGAATAGGTGAAACACCAAAACGTAAAAGCCAAACTGCAAGAAAAACGACTGCCTAGTTTTAACAGTATTGTCGTATTTCTCTAGACGATAACATTGTCATCAAATTGTAACACTTAAACTCTACAGTATACAAATGTTCCAGAAGAGCACGTAATAGACCACTTTCAGTGGTTGTCGTTTGTTGCTGTGTTACATATTTGATTTTCGTTCATTATTTTGTACATAAATTAGGCTGTTAGTTTTCTCGTTTGAATTATTTTACTTTTGTCATTTCGGGGCCTTTTATAGCTGGCTATGCAGTATGGGCTTTGCTCATTGTTGAAGGCCGTACGGTGACCGATAGGTGTTAATTTCTGTGCCATTTGGTCTATTGTGGAGAGTTGTCTCATTGGCAATAATACCATATCTTCTTTTTATATATATAGCAAAGAAGTGGTAATCTAATCTGCTTCTTTACTGAATGTGTCATATTCCCCATTTTGACATTTTGACCTAACGAGGATTTGCATACAGGGAGGTGCATGCATTTAAGGAAATGTTTACCCTGTTGACACACCTCAGTGATTTCCTCAGATTTTGGTATTCCTATTTTTATTTGTATACTGTAAACAGGGAAATTTTCGCAGCAGTTCTATTTTCGCTATTTTGAGTAATAGTTGAAACGCAAAAATACAAACAGTTCTGCGAATATTTCAAGGAAAACTCGATTCAAAGGATGAGGAGCATAGATGAACCTATACCAATAGGTTTATAAACAGGGACAATTTTTTTAAAAAGATTTTACAGACTTTTTTTAAAATGAAAGGTAGTATCAAAAATCAAAACTTTTAACTCATGACTGACAATCGAATTCAAATGAAAGTCATCTCGAGCGAGAGGAATTTAATTGTTTTGTTATACAAACAACACTCATGACAGCTAGGTAAATGACATATTTTAATCATTTTTAAAATGATTACCATATTGTAACTGCTACACTGATTGTTCTGATCAACAGATTGACTAATTCGTCGTAATCAAGGCAGCTTAATTTGTTAATTTGTTAATTTTTTTTGAGTTTTTACATGCAAGCATAAATGTTGAAATAACGTTACATCTGCACGTGCATTAAAGTACCGACGATAACTGTTCACTTTTTTCAGTCATTAAGTCTCTGATCAATTTTCACCACTTGAAGCACAAATGTAGCGTCATTTAAAAAAAAATGTAAAAGACCCCCATCAATCTCGAATTCAAAACGGCGCGAAATAAGATTAAGTTGGCAAATCGCAAAATAAAGATGGCGTGAAAATAACCCGGTTTACAGTATTCTCTGTGGATTAATTAGATATTAACATACATATAAAAATAAGAAGATGTGGTATGATTGCCAGTAAGACAATTCTCCACAAGAGACCACATGACACAGAAATTAACAACTATAGGTCACCATAAGGCCTTCAACAATGATCAAAGCCCGTACTGCATAGCTATTATATATGTATAAATAAGTAATGTTGCGGCTAATTAAACACAACACAAAAAGACGCAAGGAAAGACAGAAGGCAAAGATTCCTTCAGTAGATGTTCACAATCCGGAACATCATTCCTCTCGGTTTCTAATAGATCTGGATATTAGTTTGTCATTTAAGAGAATGTGTTTTTGATGGTTGAAAGTATCGGTTTAATTTTTCCGCCACTTTTCTTGACTAGAGTTTATTAAGAGCTGGACGTATTAATTAGATACTAGTTTATTGTTAAATACTGTTTATTGTTCATTAGATGTCTTTTGTTCTTTTTTGTCGTTGGGTTGACATTTTTACCTATTATGTCCATTTGTTTTGTTCATACATCGTTGTTAATATAATGAAATTTTATGCGACTGTCATACAAGTGACAGGTTTAGCTAGCTATAAAACCAGGTTTAATTCACCATTTTCTACATAAGAAGATACCTGTACTAAGTCAAGGAATATGACAGTTGTTATCCATTCGTTTGATGTGTTTGAGCTTTTGATTTTGACATTTGATTAGGGATTTTCCGTTTTGAATTTTCCTCGGAGATCGGTATTTTTGTGATTTTACTTTTTGCTGTGATATGATATAGTGTCCACATATCCTTTAATTTGCAAAAATTAATCAGTTTAATGCATGTTGTTAGTAATATCCAATCGTATGACCTCGGAAGTAAAACACTAATGCGTACATCAAAGAAGCAATCAATTATGACACGTCATAATCATCAGCTGGTTAGTTGTACTTACCACAGAAATTAATTATCATAGTTAATACCGGGACATAAATCTGTTACACTCCCACTAATTTTATGAAGACATAGGTGAATACCTATAAGTGGGGGAGAAATATAGGCAGCACCAGTTGACCAATGTTCAAAACGACAAAGAAAGGTCTCATGATACTGAAATGTGATTGCACAGTAACTATTACATAAAATGAAAGTGTCATTACATCATTAGCATATTTGACATATTTTGAGAAAAT